TTTCCTATTTTTTTAATTTTAATAATTAATTAATTTTTATTTTTTTAAAAAAGAGTTGTTATCTCGGTTTACCGGTCTGGTCCCGATCCAGGACGGTAAAACGTATAAATTCCGGAACTACCGATACCGGTCCGTCCCGGTTCCATTCTTTTTCCGCTGGGAGGACACCGGTTCCGATTGGTGCCGGTTCAGTAGTACCGTTACCGGTTCCGCTGCCAGCCCTACTTTCAACCATTGCTAGGAATGCTAAATGTTCCAATGTCAACTGTTGCAAGAGTCCACACTTGGTTAGGCAACAGATCGGAGATAATCAACACTCATTTGAAGTCTATTTTTCTAATATTTTATCTTCAAAGTTGTTAAAAAATAATTTTTAATTGATTTCTTTTAATAATACTATTTTTTAATTTCTAATATATCCAATTGTTTTAATCTCTCTTGAAACGTATTTTATAATAATTGGGGTGTTTCTTGGTTGTTGTAAATTGTTTCTATCCTTCTCTCTTTTTGTTTCTAATTGGATATTCCTCAAGCCATCGACATCGTAAGCATTGATATTGATTTTGTGAAAACAGTTTTATCAGATTTTGATTTTAATGTATATATTCTAGTAAATATATTTATGCTCAATGGTTTATCTTCTTTTTTTTAATTATAAAATTATATTTTTGTATTTAAAACAATAAATATTTTTAATAAATAATATATATATATATATATATATGAGTTAAAGTTATATATTATTGTCGGTGAACATAATTTTTACACAACTAAATCATAATTTATATGTTGTAAGAAGTACATATTTTATTTTTAAGATTTTAATCTCATATACTAAAAAGATTTATCTATAGAAATTCATTAGATGATATAATAATGTAAAAAAATATTCACACTAGTGAATAATCATGTATAAAATAAAAATACAATATTATATTGGAAAATTCTGGGGCGCCAAAGTTAGGGGGTCTAAAGGTGATTCACATGTGAATAAGTTACACACTTTACATTGTCAAATTCAAGTTGAACCATTCAAACTTAAATTACACACTTTACATTGTCATACACAAATTGAACTATTCGAGCTTAGATTAATTGTAGGGTCATTTTGTCCAAAATTGAGTATGTTTTATTATTTTTTGACATAATACATAAATATATCATTTAACTTGATTTTTATTGATATTTATGCGATGGTGCCCTCCAACTTTGGTGTATAGATAAAGACTTAAACTTGTATAAAGTTGAACAAATAGACACATGCATCCTACGTGACATATACATATAGAATACCATATAGGATGCAAATTGTCACATAGGACGTCAGGCATGATGCATGTGTTTGCATGATCAACTCTTACAATTAGTTTAAGTGTCAATTCGTGCACACCTAAAATTGAAGGACATAGATATCAAATCACCAAGTTAAAAAATACATTTATGTAGTATATCTTTATATCTTTTGGGATATTGTGCGATGATAGCATCATTTCACATTTATTTATCCATTTTACTTTAGACATTTCAAATGATTATTTTCTCTAACTAAACCTCGATAGTATTTCTTTTAATTTATTTGAAGCATATAATTACTTTTTTTTTCTCTGTTTACTAAAAAGATAATTACCTAAAAATGCATAAAATGATAAAAGCAGAAAAAAAAAACTCATTTTTCGACAATGCGGCTGGACTACTGCGTCCACCCATCCACACACGCTATACTCTTCAACTTTCTCAACAAAATATCAAATTGGGTTTGACTTGTATTTTGGTTTTCTTTTGTTTAATAAGTTTGATTTATATACCATTAATGATATAAAGATTTTCTAAATTGGCATTTCAATTAAACATAAGTTTGCATGGCAAAAAAAAATGAATTACACGCAAAATATGGTAAATAACACGTTACATCAATTAAAACTATATTGAACATAACAATATTGTTGGCAATGGCATGAGTCGCTTACTACTATTTAAAAAAATGATCTGATTTCATAAATTGGAAAAGAAAATTAAGATACTATTTTTAAAATGATGGTCAAGTAATATATACGTGGGTGTATTCTCTATTGTCTATATAAATAAACAAGTTTTGATTGGCACTAATGGAGTATCACATAAATTATAGTCTAAAATAATTTAAAATCTAAATAAATACAATCTTTAAAAAATTGAACTTAATTAAATAGAGTAATTTAAAATTATTGAGTTGTTCTAAATCCGTACACAAAAGCTATAATTCTGCCCCTGGCTGTATAGTGCCTATATAAACAATCCGTTAGCTAGCAAATTAGATTGCCAAAAAAGAAAGTAGAGTCATAGTGGGGATGGGAAATATTAAGTTTTTCTTGTTGATGTTTTTTCAAATGGTGATTGTGGCGAATGGTTGTTGGGTGGAAGAGAGAAGTTCTCTCTTGGAGCTGCAAACAAACATAATGAGTTCGAATGGCGAATTGTTGGTTGACTGAGCAGGTTATAATACGAATGGTTTTACAGATTGTTGTTTTTGGAAAAGTGTAAAATACAGCTTAGAAACAGGTCGAGTGATCAAACTCGATCTCAAAACAAATTTTGGCACAGGGGATGGTTGGAGATTTAATGCCTCTCTCTTTCTTCCATTCAAGTCCCTCCAAGTTCTTGTATTGTCTTACAGAAATATTATAGGGTGGACAAAAAATGAAGGTCTGATCGATCTTGTATGGAATTTATTCGTCACTCTTGAAAAATGAAACTAAATATATTACTAACATGTATTTTTTGGTCTAATTTTGTCATCCAGGTTTCAGTAAACTAAAGGAGCTTCCCAACCTGAAAATACTAGATTTGCAATTTAATCCAATCCATCCAAAAGTGTTACTATCATCTTTATGTTGGATTTCATCTCTTGAGGTTCTAAAACTTGGTGCAGATCCTGATACCTCTTTCAGCGTAGCGACATATAATACTAGTATATTCTATATCCTACTACTCTATAGTCCATAAGGCCATCTTTGGACAATAATTTACTTAGTAGTTGTAATTTTTGGATGAAGGCATTAGTAAGAAATGTGGAGGGCTAAGCAATTTAAGAGAACTCTGGTTTGAAGGTTATGGAATCAATGACATTGGTATCCTTTCTGCATTGGGTAAGCTCCCTTTAACAAAGTAGCAAAATAACAAATTTCACAAGAGAAAACAATTAACACCAAGTACGGTCTCTTACTTTTCATAAATCAAATGCAGGTGTTGGTGGAAATAGTGGACTGAGGAATTTAGAGAAACTCATTTTGAATGATAATGACTTCAATTCCACCATCTTTTCATCACTCAAGATTTTTCCGTCTCTCAAGCATCTCAATCTCGCCTCGAATGAAATAAATGGAAATATCAAAATGAATGGTTTGTTACGCGCCTCTTCCCATCCAAGTCTTCCTCACTAAATATCTCAATTTTATTTCTTCGCATATCAAATTAAAGTTTATTTTTGATTAACCTGTGTAGATATAATTGATTTGAGCAATTTGGAGTATCTGGATCTCTCGTATAACAATATAGAGAGCTTTGTGACTACCAAAGGTACACGAATCAATGCAGTTGCTCTAATGTTGAATGTTTTATTTTAACCTTAACACATCCTACAGAATAAAATACATCTCTACGGACTTTAGATTGAAAATTGTGGGATACAAATTAGATTTTAATAAGATCCAACTATTCATTCTTATTTAAAAATGTATATGATTTATTTATTCACCATTTAACAGGTAACAAAAGAATAAGTTCTCTGCGGAATTTACAATTGGGAAGTTCCTACTCCAACTCAAGCAGAGTCATAGAATCCCTAAAATCATTCTCTTCTCTTAAATCACTTTCTTATGAATTTAGTGATCTCACTTCTCCAACCATAATTTACGGTAAGCTCAAATTCATATATACCTTAGCTTACTTCTATCGCCACTCTTTTCTTTTGATATGTACATTTAGTTTTCTTTTCATTTTTTGGACTCTATGATATAAGCATTAAGAAATCTGAGCACGGTGGAGCACCTATATTTGGAGGGATGTTCTTTAAATGACAACTTTCTCCCAAACATTGGACAAATGCCTTCTCTCTTGGTGTTCAGTATAGCATTTGGTGACAATGATGGCACCCTCCCTAATCAAGGTACCCTATTTTTCTCTTTTTTCCCTAATGCCCGCATTTTCATGTTGGAGGTCTGATTTTAGCATGTTCAGTTGATCAAACATTATAATAATTTTTGTTTATTACCAAACACAAGAAAATAAGTAACACAAGCCACCTAATTTTCCTAGAAAATATTTTCCTTCGTATCGAACACATCCATAGAGACATAAAAAAAATATAATAAGATGTCACTTGTTATAGAAATTTGTTTTAGCTAAATGTTTCTTAATATATATATATAGGTTGGTGTGAACTCAAACATATTCAAGAGCTGGATTTTTCAGCCAATAGTTTTCGGGGAACACTGCCTTCATGTTTTGGAAACTTGACATCACTTCGACGATTGAGTTTTGGGGGGAATTACTTCAGAGGAAATATAGCGTCAGATTCTATTTGGAGGAGACTCACATCACTTGAGTACATCGATATTTCATATAACCAATTTGATGTTCCTCTGTCATTCAGCCAATTTTCCAACCATACAAAATTGATCTACTTGGATGTTAGTTCTAATACAATAATTACAGATACCAAATTCCAAAATCAGATCCCAAATTTCCAGTTGGAGTTTTTTGCTATCAAAGGATGTAAACACCTTAAAAAATTGCCTTATTTCCTTCACTACCAATATGACTTGAGGATTCTTGCTATTGGAGGAAATCAATTGCCCGGGATCTTTCCAACATGGTTGTTAGAAAATAACACCAGACTTGCAGGGATTTATAGTAGAGATAATGCTTTCAGCGGATCATTCAAGTTGCCATCGAGTTGTCACCTCCATCTAGAGACAATTGATGTTTCTAATAACAAATTAAATGGGCATATTCCAGATAAAATGAATTCAGCATTCCCAAAGCTTACTTATTTGAACATGTCACAAAATTATCTTGAAGGTCCTATACCTTCCAAGATAAGTAGCATTCATTTACATAATCTAGACCTATCTCACAATTTCTTATTTGGAGGAGTTCCTAGTGATCTGGCAATTGGTTCTCCAGTATTAGCTTACCTTCGATTGTCACACAACAAGTTAAAAGGTCAAATTTTTCCAAAGGATGTCAAACCAAAGATGTTATTCTTTTTGTTCTTGAATGGAAATAACTTTGAGGGACCACTACCTTGCAACATGTTTATCACATCCCTTATTGTATTGGACGCTAGCAACAATAATTTCTCTGGAGAGATTCCGAGATGCATTAGGGATAATACAAGATTGTTACAACTTGATTTATCCAAGAATCATCTCAAAGGTTCAATTCCAGTTGAGATTTGCAATTTAAAGCTCATTCAGGTCTTAGCTATATCAGAAAACAGGCTTTCAGGCTTTATTCCTTCTTGTGTGAATTCTTTACCTCTTGAACACATCCATCTACAGAAAAATCAATTGGGTGGTGAATTGGAACATGCACTTTTCAACTTATCTTCTCTGATAACTTTGGATCTTGGGTACAACAATTTTACAGGAAGTATCCCACACACCATAGGCTCACTTAATACTCTCAACTACCTTCTCCTTAGCAATAATCAATTCGAAGGAGAGATTCCAACTGAGATTTGTATGCTGAACAAGCTATCTATCGTGGATTTATCTTTCAATAAGCTTTATGGTTCACTCCTTCCTTGTTTGAGCTACTTAACACAAGCCAAAAAGGATACAGAGATAAGTAAGACCAATTATCCTACGACTTCTAGGCGTTCATGGATAACTTTTTTGGCCTGGATGCGTTTGAAAAGGCACTACCACGATAGTCATGGATTTCTAAGTGACATATTTCTGATGGATGTGGAAACTCAGGTCCAGTTTTCAACAAAAAGAAACTCATACACTTATAAGGGAAGCATTCTAAAATATATGTCAGGTATGGATCTCTCAAGTAACAGATTAACTGGTGAAATTCCCGTTGAGCTAGGGAAGATGAGTAATATACCTGCATTGAATCTATCGCACAACCATCTCATCGGAAGAATACCAAATACCTTCTCCAATCTACAGAAAATTGAGAGTTTAGATCTTTCCTACAACAACTTGAATGGGAGCATTCCTGTTGGTCTACTTGAGCTAAATTCTTTGGCAGTATTCAGTGTTGCATACAACAACTTATCGGGTGCAGTGCCTGATTTTAAAGCTCAATTTGGAACTTTCAACAAAAGCAGCTACGAGGGAAATCCTTTTCTTTGCGGTTATCCATTAGACAACACGTGTGGCATTCCTAAATTGTCATATACCTCCAAGATTAATGGAGGTGAGGAATCATCAGACTTGGAGGATATTCAGTGTTTTTACATTGGCTTTGTTGTGTCTTATGGAGCGATCTTGTTGGGATTAGCTGCGGCACTCTGCTTCAATCGTTATTGGAGAAAAGCATGGTTTAGGATGATAGAGGCATTGATGTTTTATGGTTACTATTTTCTCTTGGACAACGTTGTTACACCCATCAAGAGTATATGGTACAGGAATGTTGGTTAATTCTAGGTAGTTGTTTTACAATATTGTTGTATGTGTATCACCATTATTAATTATATTGTCATTCTGTTTTATCAATATTCGACAAATAGGATCTGTTTGGAGTAGTTACAACTTCATAATTTAATACCCCCTGCATAGCTTCATTAGTGTTGCTATTTATGTAGCCGTTTGAGGAATAATATATGTTATTTCAAGTCAAGCTAAAACCATCGCACTTTTTGAAAAACCCCACACAGATTTTTTTGACACAAATAGAATTGCAAGCCTATCACAATATGTACAACCACACACTGATATTTTTGAAAAACTTGCTGATGGAGAAAAAGTGTTTATAAGAAAAAGTATGATTTCTTCAGAAACTTACCCCTCAATCACAAGTCATGCAATAGTTTAATTTTATTTCCCAAAAGAGATCAAACTATTACGATACAAAGTCAAACTTTAATTTTGGGACAACAACACTTACTGCGAAAGCAATATCCGGACGAGTCACAGTAAGATAGTTTAACTTCCTAACTAACCTTCTATATTTCTTTGTATCATCAAAAGGATCACCATCATTTGTCATAAGATGCACATTGGGAACCATTGGAGTACTACAAGGTTTGGTTCCCAACTTTCCAGTGTCAGCAAGCACGTCAAGAATATACTTTCTCTGAGACAGAAAAATTCCCCTCTTGCTTCTATTTACTTCTACTCCCAAAAAGTATCTTAACGGGCCCAGATCCTTCATTTGAAATCTGGTATTTAAGAAAGACTTAAGGGAAGAAATTCCCGCATAATCACTTCTTGTGATGACAATGTCATCAACATATACAATAAGTAGAATAGAGCCAAATGTTGTTTGCCGATAGAAGACTGAGTTATCACAGTTGCTCATTTTCAACCCAAAAGCTTGAACTACCTCACTAAACTTGTCAAACCAAGCTCGTGGACTTTTCTTCAAGCCATACAAAGACTTTTTCAAATGACAAACTTTCGCATACTCCTCTTGAGCAACAAAACCGGGTGGTTGCTCCATATAAACTTCCTCCCCAAGATCACCATGAAGAAATGCATTCTTGATATCTAACTGATGCAATGGCCAATCCTCGGAAGCAGCTAGAGAAATGAACAAGCAAATAGAAGTGAGTTTGGAAACTGGAGAGAAGGTGTCTGAATAATCTACCCCATATATTTGAGCATACCATTTAGCCACATGTCTAGCCTTAAGTCTTGCTACAGAACCATCTCGATTCACTTTAACTATGAAGACCCACTTACATCCAACTGGTTTCTTTCCCTTTGGTAAATCAACCAAATCTCATGTGTGATTTTCCTCTAAGGCATGTATTTCATCTAACATTGCATTAGATCATCCTGGATGGTTCAAAGCCTCCTTCACTGTTTTGGGTATAGAGATGGAGTCTAGAGAGGCAATCAAAGATCTAGACGTGGAGGATAAGTGGTCATAGGAAACAAAATTAGCAATAGAATATGTGGATTTGCACGTGCGTGCTCCTTTGTGAAGAGCAATAGGAAGGTCAAGCTTTTTTGAAGGATCAGGTGACCGAACGGGTGCATCAACCTCCTCCCCCTGACTTATAGAAGTAGGAGGTGCATAAAAAAATGGTGTAGTCTCTGAAAATACCACATCAATTGATAGAAGATATTTGCCAAGTTCAGTAGAATAGCACCGATACCCTTTCTGAAGGCGAGAATAACCTAGAAAAACACATTTCAATGCCTTAGGATCTAACTTGGTAACAGATGGTCGAACATCTCGAACATAACATATGCTTCTAAACACCTTCGGTTCCACTGGATATAGTGACTTATTAGGAAAAAGAACATTATAAGGTGTATTACCAACAAGCACGGTAGATGGCATGCGATTAATCAGAAAGCAGGATGTAGAGACTGCATCTGCCCAAAATAGTTTAGGAACCTTCATCTGGAATAAAAGTGCCCGAGCTGTCTCAAGTAAATGTCTATTCTTCCTCTCAACAACTCCATTTTGAGAGGGTGTATCAACACATGAAGACTGGTGGAGAATACCACATGTTGTCTCAAATATGATTGAAACAACTATGACATATATTCTTTAGCGTTGTCACTTCTTAGAGTGCGAACTAAAGCATTAGTTTGGGTTTTAACTTCAGCAAAGAAGGCACAAAAGTGAGTAAACACTTCAAAGTGAATCTTCATAAAATGAATCCAAGTCATCTGAGAGAAATCATCCACAAAAGTGGCAAAATACCTATGTCCCGTTTTGGAAGTGACTGGACATGATCCCCAAACATCAGAATGAACTAACTCAAAAGTTGACTCAGCCCACTTATTAACCCTTGGTAAGAAAAACCTATTGAGTTGCGATGATATTTTACAAATCGACACGACTCGCATTTCAATGAAGAAATATTCTGAAATTGAGGACAAAACTTATTTAATAGAGGTAGAGAGGGATGGCCCAATCGACAATGTGCATCAAACGGAGACACGACACTTGAGAAGGCAACAGACTGAGACTCCCATTCATCAAGGATATAGAGATCATCAGATACATGTCCTTTACCAATAACCTGATTTGTTGTAAGATCACGAACCAAATAATGATCAGGAAAAGAAAGATATATAGCAATTAAGGTCTCTGCAACTTTGCTAACATAAATCAAAATAAAGGCAAACTTTGGTAGACTTAATACAAATGACAGGGTAATAGATGAGGTTGGTTTAACAATCCCATATCCAACATTGTTGCAAGTTGATCCATCAGCTACAGCAACCGAAGAGGATGCTTTGTGAGATTGAAAGCTAGAAAATACATTAGGATTACTTTTCATGTGATTTGTTACACCTGAATCAATCACCCATTTATTCGAATGCGTGATAAGACATGACTCCGTAAAAGCATTAACTGGAGTGGGTTCCTTCAGTGATTTATGATATTGAGAGATTTTAGCAAATTCTTCCATCGAAACCAAAACCAAAACCTTTTTATCATTTAATGAACTTGAAGCAGTCATTTCCCCAAACTCACTATATCAAATTAGAATAATAGAGAAATTGCCAAAGCTCTGCAATCAGAATACTAGAGAAATTGCCAAAGTTTTGCATTAAAATGTTATCTCAACAATTTTGTCCACGCCAACAACTCAGATTGTTTGACTCAACTCAAAAAAAGCTCCACTCACATATAAAGGTCTTAAAAGTGAAATAACCAACTCTCAGCTAAAGGGTTCAAACTCAAATAGACTGAAACACCCAGTTGTTCTAGAGATGGTCCAGAAAATAAAATATGAAATACCCAAATAATTTAGATGTGAAACTAATTGAATAGTGGAGAGTAAAAATTCAAATAGCAGCAACAAAATTCAAACAACGTTGCAGCTCAAAACAGATCAAAGCGGTAGACAAAGAAATTCAAACGCAAATATGACCAAAAGAAATCACAAAACCTGGTTGTTGATGCTTATTCTTCAAAACTTGGTCCAATATCCAGAAGACTACCATAAGTCGGCTGAGAATTTCAAGACGACACCAAATCTCAAAACTCATCTTTACTTTCTTAAAACTCAGTTTAAGAACTCAAGAAAATAGAATTATGAATCACTTTTGTATTTTTCATAACTCACCTCACTTTCTCAGATTCTTGAATGTCTCAACAAAATAGAGATATTCATGATGTATCAACTCAATTTTTCAATGACTTTGAACCGAAACTGATTTTATTTTTTTTGACAATTTGGGAGAAGAAATTTGAAATTTGAATTTTTTGAAGTTGTTATGCTGTGTGAGAGATTGATTAGCAGTGACAACAACGTAATTGTGTGATTTATGAATTTGATATTTAATTTTACATTTCTTTTCTGTTTTTAAGCGCAACAAGAAAGATTTTATTCCATTTTTTAGCGCAACAAAAGGATTTTTCTTGTATCAGAATTAATGTATCCAGATGGTGACTTATGTATCCGAAAGGTACAAATTTTAAGGGATATTGTACTTAGAAAAAGAGTAGGGATAATATATAATTTACTCATTACACTATGAGATTTATGTAAGTTATACTTAAATAATTTAAAACCTAAATAAATACAATCTATAAAAGATTGACCTTAATTAAATTAATTATTTTGTATTTCCTACATCGAAATATATTTGTATAGTTATTATTCTCTCCTATTTTCACTTGTATAAATAAATGTTTGAGTTTTTATTATTAATAATAAAATTTATTTTCTCATTATGTTAATGTACTTCATTGTAGAACATCATTAGCTTATATACTTAATTACTATTTCTCAAAAAAATTTCATTCAAAAGACAATGGTTATCCTTTTATAAGAATTTACATGAATTAAAAAAAAATGAAAATATCATGATATTTAAAGAAGTAAAAAAAAAGTTGATAATGAAAGGATATAATAGTCATTTAAAAACATAATTAAGAAAAAGGGAGAGTTTGAAGCTTGCTTTTCCTATTCAAGTCATGTTGGAATCAGTAAAACATACAAAAATGAAGTGAGGCTGACTCAACTAGTTTCATTTCCACCATCCATTTTATTGGGTAGATATGATGTGTTCGGAGATTTATTTTATGCTTTTACAAATATATTATCAATATTGTAGTTTAGAAAACACAGCTTAAATGAATTTTTATGTTTAAAAATAGAGTCTAAGCTAAAATTATTGAGTTGTGTTAAATTTTGAGAAAAGCTATAATTTTGCCCTATATAAACATTCCGTTAGCTAGATAGCAAATTAGCTTGCCAGAAAATAAAGTAGAGTAACAGTGGGGATATGGGGAACATTAAGTTTTTGTTGTTAGTGTTTTTTCTTATAGTAATAATGGCGAATGGTTGTTGGGAGGAAGAGAGAAGTGCTCTCTTGGATCTGTAGGCAAACATAATGAGTTCGAATGGCGAATTATTGGTTGATTGGGCTGGATATAATGCGAATGGTTTTATAGATTGCTGTTTTTGGAAAAGTGTAAAATGCAGCTTAGAAACAGGTCGAGTGATCAAACTCGATCTCGGAAGTGAAAGGTTTGGATCAGTGGATGATTGGAGATTTAATGCCTCTCTCTTTCTTCCATTCAAGTCACTGCAAGTTCTTTTATTGTCTTACAGAAATATTACGGGATGGACAAAAAATGAAGGTATATATGGAGTATATTCATGACTTGTGAAACATGAAACTATATATATATATATATACTCAGATTTGTATGTTGAACAACTTATCTATTGTGGATTTATCTTTCAATAAGTTTTATGGTCCACTCGATCCTTGTTTGGGTTACTTAACACAAGCTGAAAAGGATGCAGAGATAAGTACGACTTACTATGCTCTGACATTTAAGAGTTCATGGTTAACTTTTTTGGGCTGGGTACATTCGAAATGGCACTATCACGACAGGCATGGAATTCTAAGTGACAAAATTTTTATGGATATGAAAATCCAGGTTCAGTTTTCAACGAAAAGAAACTCATACATTTATAAGGGAAGCATTCTAAAATATATGTCGGGTATTGATCTCTCAAGTAACAGATTAACTGGTGAAATTCCCGTTGAGCTAGGGATGATGAGCAATATACCTGCTTTGAATCTATCACACAACCATCTCATCGGAAGAATACCAAATACCTTCTCCAATCTACGGAAAATTGAGAGTTTAGACCTTTCCTTCAACAGATTGAATGGGAGCATTCCTGTTGGTCTACTTGAGCTAAATTCTTTGGCAGTATTCAGTGTTGCATACAACAACTTATCGGGTGCAGTGCCTGACTTTAAAGCTCAATGTGGAACTTTCAACAAAAGCAGCTACGAGGGAAATCATTTTCTTTGCGGTTATCCATTAGACAACAAGTGTGGCATGAGTCCTTAATTGTCAAATAGCTCCAAGATTAATGGAGATGAGGAATCATCAGAATTGGAGTGTTTTCACATCGGCTTTGTTGTGTCTTTTGGAGCAATCTTGTTGGGATTAGCTACAGCGCTCTGCTTCAATCGTTATTGGAGAAAAGCATGGTTTAGGATGATAGAAGCATTGATGTTTTATTGTTACTATATATTTTGTGTTGGACAACATTGTTACACCCATCAAGAATGTTGGTTAATTAGGTAGTTGTTTTAAAATTTTGATGTATGTATATCACTATTATTAATTATATTGTCATTCTGTTTTATCAATATTCAACAAATAGGATCTGTTTGGAGTAGTTACAACTTCATAATTTAATATCCCCTGCATAGCTTCATTAGTGTTGCTATTTATGTAGCCGTTTGAGGAATAATATATGTTATTTCAAGTCAAGCTAAAACCATTTCACTTTTTGAAAAACCACACACAGATTATTATTTTTGGACACAAATAGCATCGCAAGCCTATCACAATATGTACAACCACACACTGATATTTTTGAAAAACTTGCTGATGGAGAAAAAGTGTTTATAAGAAAAAGTATGATTTCTTCAGAAACTTACCCCTCAATCACAAGTCATGCAATAGTTTAATTTTATTTCCCAAAAGAGATCAAACTATTACGATACAAAGTCAAACTTTAATTTCGGGCTATGGATATGAGTGGAGTCGGTAGGGGAAAATGTAATGGGTTGGGATTTAATTTTATTCAATAGACAAATGATATGTAATAAATAGTAATAATAATAATTTAAAATGAAAAGGCTGTTAGTAAGGGCAAAAATAAATCAAAAAGGTGGATTGAGACAAATATGAAGGATATTTTTAGCCCTTTTCCGCTATTAATCAGGAAAGACTTGGTCCAAATTGTTTGAGAGATAGAAAGCCTTAGTTAATCATCTAATTAGGAAGTTGTTCCTTGACTAAAATACCGTTCCAAGTTAAACCATAACTGATCAGTCCATACATACCAATGATTCGGCCACAATTCACACCAAACAAACAGAATTTAATTTCTAGCTTACAAGGAAATTATAAATTTTGTTTATCAAAAGCATAACCAAATCCTCAGAGTCGCATATGAATACCCCTCGAGCAACATCTCTAAACCTTCTTTTGCATCAACAGTGGCTAAGAATTTAGTTTTTAGCATACAAGGAAAACAGCCGGTTGACATTGCTATCGGTACACATATGTGTTGTAATTCGAACTTTTGATGATACTCACAAAATATGGGACCTGGTCCCATAGTTGAGCATGTCTCTGTAGTCAAATGTTGAACAACTGTAAAGACTGTCATTTCTAACATGGTTGATGAGCACAAGAAACGAGAATAGTGTACTCAACCAATCAGAGAGCACTAGGTTGTTTTGTTGATAGGATAATATATCATCATTGACATGAAACAACCTAGTCAATACATTGAAAAGCAATATTTCAAAAGGAACATTTTATCTTGGAAAAACTCAAGCCTTCAAGAACCTCAAGGGTCGTGATAGAGTTATCGAGTGTGTCTTCTGAGTGTTGTTAATGAAAGCTTGTGTTGTGTTGAACTTGTAAGATACATTTCTGATCTATAAAGGAATGCACCGAGTCTTTTATGTGATAACGAACAATGAGCATAATTAGAGTTAAGTGTGTGGTGTGTGACTGAAGTCTATATTAATTAGAGTTAGTTAATATAGTGGGCAATAGAGACATTGATTTGGCTCTCTTGTAATAGGGTTATTACGGGTGATGAGATTAAGAGTTTAATCTCTGTATGTGTATTTGGAGTCTGTAATCACTTGTTGCTTGAAGATAGTGAAAACAGTTGAAAATCCTGTGTAATAGCTCGTGGTTTTTCTCCTTTGAGCAAGGAGATTTTCACGTAGAACTCCTTCTTGTTTTATTTACATTTTAGTCTCTTTTAATACATTATAGTGTAATACCAAGCTGGTCCTGTAGTACGTGGTGGACTAGGGCCTAGTGACGTGACATAATCAAAGGCCATGAACTACTTTCATCCCAAAATAATATTAACAAAGACAATACAAAAGAAGAAAATTACACTCGATGCAGTTCACACAAGTATTTTACCACACTCCAATCTTATATAAACGT